TTTATTTAATTAGCCTCTTGCATCTCCTCACAGCGTTTGAGGCAGTACTCAGAGCAAGGTCTGGTCACTGCGGGGAGGAAGTCTGGAAACTTCCCGTGCCTCGCGGCTGAATCACTGGCTGTTTTATGGTGTGGAAATCACTGGCAGGTGGGGCCTTGTAGGCCTTTCCAGTGCAAAGTCCCGAGGACGTGGTGAGCGTAAGGAGCGCGCAGCGCAGCGCAGCTTTCTTCCCAGCGTTACAGTAAGCAGCTCAAGCACTTCCCACTGAAGTTAAAAAGCCGCACGCCGCTTTTAGGGAACAAACGCACGTGCTCCCGCGTCCTCAGGGCTACGGGCGCGGTGTCCGTCAGGGGACACCGCGCACAGCCCCAGGATCTGCGGCTAGGCGGAGAGCACAAACGCAGGCACGGCAGAGCTGCCGCGCGGACATCTCTCGCTTACGTCGCACCTCCGCCTTCTCTCACCGCGCACCGCCGCTCCCGGCAGCGAGGCGCCGGGGCGCCGCCCGCGCGGGAAGGGGCAGCGCTACCGGGGGAGGTGCTGAGTCACGGCGGCCCGGCAGCGGCCCGGCAGGCAGCGCCCGAAGGCCACGCCCCTTCCCCCCCCCCGTAGGGGCGCGCTCGTGCGCGGTGACGCTGCGGCGGTATAAAAGGGGCCGCGCGGGGCGGCAGCTCCCAGAGCGCGTCGGCGAGGCTGAGCAGAGCGGGTTCCTGCGTCAACAGTGCTTGGACGGAACCGGCCGCGCTCGGGCCCGCCGCCTCCCCCGCCGCCACCACAGCAGCCGTCGTATCCGCCGCGTCTCTCTCTCGGCAGCGCCATGGCTACGCCTCCTTCCCAGGTGCGCCAGAACTACCACCAGGACTGCGAAGCCGCCATCAACCGGCAGATCAACCTGGAGCTGTACGCCTCCTACGTGTACCTCAGCATGGTGAGCGGCGGAGGGGGGGCGGCCGCGGCCTTGCGGGGGTCCGGCGGCAGGGGAGGGGGCGGCCGGCCGGCGGCCCCGCGTCTCGGCGGACGAGGCCCGGCGGGGGGCGGCTCCGGGCGGTGCCTCCCGGCGCAGCCGCGCTGCGTTCCTCACCTCGGGGGAGGGGGCGGCCCGAGCCGCTCGCTGGCTGCGGGGGGGGGGGGGGGGGGGGGTTGGTGGAGGCTCTTATCTCTGGGCGAGCCTCGGCCGCGCGTTAACTGCGCGTCGTTGGCTGCTATCGGCGCAGCTCGGCGCTCCCGGGCGGCTCTGCCCTTGGGGGCAGGGCTGGATGGCGGCGGCTGCCCGACGGAGCGCTTGGCAGCTCTCCCACCGGAGGCAGGGTTCTCGAGTCCTGATTTTGAGGTGAATTGGGAGGAATCCGTGGCATCCCCTGTTCTGCGCTTGCCTTTCTGGCTTGGCACGCAGCTTTCGTTTTAGCTGCAGCGGAGCTGGTGCCTTCAGTCCAGACAGCAGCTCTGACCCGTGCGGGAAACTTCCAGCTGCCCTGCATCGCGGCCTTCTGGTGTAGGTCTTAACCGCTTGCTGCTGCGTTACTGTGAAGATGTGAACCTCTGCTGCAGGCTGAATGTAGCTGTTGTGATAGCAGAGCACAAACACCGCTGTCCTGTGAGCCTCCCAGCTGCTGCTGTCAGAGCTGAGAGCTCTGCAGTTCTTTGCCTGGTAGATAGCTGGCACAAATACAAAGCTTTCTATTGAACTCTGCTTTATGTCTCTCTCCTAAGAAAAAAGGAGCTGTGGGATGGCTTCTAAAGGCTGTCACAGATCTTCTGGCTTTCAAGAGCTGATGTTGTATCTGCTGTTGAATAGGTGCTCTACTTACAGTTAAGCTTTTCACTTCTAAATGCAATACTGAAGGTTTTCTCAGAAGTAGAAAGCATACTTGCTAGTCTAATATCTGCTAAATCTGGTGGAATATGCGTGAAAGCATTATTGCAGAAGTACCTTAATGTTTCTGGCTACTCTTAACCTACTCTTAGCAGGTGTTATGATTAGAACTTTGACTTGTGACCACTGTGAACAAAACAAGTGGGAAAACAATCCTTGAAAGTAAGATAGTCCAGAAGAATGCTTTAGTGGTGTGTGGGATTTCACATATCAGAAGTGAACCACAAATGCCAGTTATTTCTACTTATCAAGATGTGGGTTATAATCTAATAGAACTTAGTTCTAGCTGGGAAAACTGAACTTTTTGTGGAGGGAAGACTTTGGCCATATTACTCTGCTGATTACCCACAGCTTGGGCTCTAGCCTTCTTGAGGGGTTGAGATATTTGAAGTTACAGTGTAGACTTTGCTTTGTGTGGCTGTAAGAGTGAAGCTTGAGTTTCTGAGCACATAAATTCTAATTTTCAGTCCTACTATTTTGACCGGGATGATGTGGCTCTGAAAAACTTTGCCAAGTACTTCCTGCACCAGTCCCATGAGGAGCGTGAACATGCTGAGAAGCTGATGAAGCTGCAGAATCAGAGGGGTGGGCGCATCTTCTTGCAGGACATCAAGGTGAGCTCTCTGGGTTGTCATGCCTAATGCAGAACTAGTCTTGGGGCCTGCCTCCAGGCTGTAGGGGAAGGAATTCCCCTGAGAGGCCTCCTGCAGAAGAGCAGCAGCGGCTGCCAGTGGTTGAGCACATGCGTTGCTGTGATCTGTGTGTGGTGATCAGTCTTGGCAAAGTCTAATTATGCACATTAACATGTTGACTGACTACTAAGAAGCACTTCCTCCATGAGAATAGCTGCATATACATAGCTTATAGTGGTTTTAGAAGGGGGTGGGGGTGCAGGTGCAGGAAACAGCGAACTAGAATATAACTGGTTCAGCCACCTTGAGTTCAACTGCATGTGCCTTCTTGGCTCTCTAGTCTTGTGACTAGAGATAACAAAACAACCTGTTTCCAGTTAGAATCAATAACTTGCTGCAAGACTTCATGGCATGATTTGCTTGAAGTCCCTTTACTCATTTCCTGCTGTTTTGAATTACTAATAGTGTGGTCAGTTTAATATATAGCAACTCTTCATGGGGAAAACAGTAACAGCCACTTAAGAAAAAATATCTTTCAAGCTGCCTGTTTGGATATCTAAACTGCTTTGTTTTCTTTGAGATTGTACCTATGCAGTGGCATAACATGGCAAGCAGCTCAACATCACACAGCTGTTCACTCCATCCCCTCCTCACTGGCCTGGGGGCAAGCATTAGAAAAAGGATTTTAGAGGCTGAGACAGACAGTTCACAGGACAGAAATGAAAGGGAATGTTAAGGGATATACAAAACAAGTGATGTGCAGTTGTTTGCTGCTTGCTCGCTGGTGTTCAGCCAATCTCATGGCAGCAGCCCACTCCTAGCAAACTCCCCCAGTTTTTATTATTCAGCATGATACCATATGGCATGGACTATCTCTTGCAGTTTCAGTCAGCTGCACTGCTTCTGTGCACCCCCAGCTCCTTCCTGGCACGGCAGTATGAGGAGCTGAAAAGTGCTTGACTTCTAGTGCAAGCACTGCTCAACTAAAACAGTGTTATCACACTGTTCCTTCTCAGTGGCATCATACCAACCACTATGAACAAAGTTTAGCATGTCTCAGCCAAAAACAGGACACCTACTTAGATGTTTAGGCCATGAGATTAGAAGGGAAGAAGAAAAGTAGTTTTAAGTCTTAACCTTCCAAGATTTCGCTGAACGTAATGTAAGAAGAGCTTAGAGAACAGGCATACATCTATTCTCTGTGACTTTTAGTCTGCATTCAATTCTGTCCTAAGTGCAGTGTGAGTGCCAAGTTGGTTTTTTTTTTCCAAGACCCAAATGCTTGAGCTTGGTTGTGTTTAAGGAGTTTTGAGTAAAGAGCCTTACTGGAGAACTGCATAGTGCAGCGAGTTGCTTTTTTAGATGCAGCTTTAGACTTTGAGACCGACCGAAAAGACTTTGCTCTCTATCGATTTGTTTGCTTTATAAAAATATGGTCATGGGCTTTTCCCTTCTAGAAACCAGATCGTGATGACTGGGAGAATGGACTGACTGCAATGGAGTGTGCCCTGCACCTGGAGAAGAACGTGAACCAGTCGCTGTTAGAACTGCACAAATTGGCAACTGAAAAGAATGACCCACACGTAAGTGGGTGCTGAAGCAAGAATGTAGCTGTACAGTGGGGGAGCTTGTATGTGACTATGCATGGGGATGTGAATAGTATGTACCTGCTATTCCTAGTGGTGAAAGGGCTGAACTTGTGCAGCTCTTCCAGGAGGAATGTCCTGGTGTGTTTGGTTTTTTTTTAAGCAGAGCCAGTTATACTAGGATGATTAAGGTTTGTTGTAGAGCATGGGGTGTGTAGCTGTGCTCAAACCCTTTTGTTGCTGCTCTTCAGAACAGAAGGCACTCATGTGAACAACACTTCGTAGAGAAGTATGTTTATCAGTATGCAGTAGGCTTGACTGGGGGCCAAAGTCACTTTTTGGAATGATAAAAACTGCTGACTTTTAGACTGCTGCAATTCAGACACATGCTACTAACCTCTTAGTTAAAAAAGCCTCAATCCAGCCTTGGCAATGATGTCTGTAGTAAAGCCTGCAGTTGTGAGTTAACTTATGTTTTTAGAGTGCTTTGGAAAATATCCTGTGCAAGCTAGAAGGATTTGTTTTAAAAGGAGCAACATAGCTGACTGTTCTACATGTATAAATGCTCATGATCATGAAGTGCTGTACTGTGTACTTAAATACATTGAGATGTACCTGGTTCACTTTTTTTCTTAGTATGATTTTTCAGCAGGATGAGCTATGTTCAGGCCTAAACTTCTTTCTTCTCCCTTCCAGTTGTGTGACTTCATTGAGACTCACTACCTGGATGAGCAGGTGAAAGCCATCAAGCAGCTAGGTGACCATGTGACCAACCTGCGGAAGATGGGGGCACCCAAGTATGGCATGGCAGAGTACCTGTTTGACAAGCACACCCTTGGTGAAAGTGACAACAGCTGAAGGCTTACCAAGAACTGCCCTGTGGGTTTCAGGGAGACTTCTACTTTACTGGTCCAGCAGTGCATGCATCTTCAGCTATCTAGATAAGCAGTTCTTATACTCTGTACCAAATATCAGCCCTCTTTTCTCTTGTGTTTTGTGTACTGCCCTCCATCCAATAAAGTGACTTGGTTCAAGGTGGCTTCTGCTTTTTTTCCCTTAAGGTGTGTGTGTGGGATTGTGCTCTGTAGTCTTAACTGAGAAAGTTATCTTGAGCTGAGCATGGATGAAGAAATAAATTGGAGGAATTGTTTTAACTCTAGCGCTCGAGTATTTTAGTGGATACTACTGGATGGGGGAAAAACCTGCAAGGATTGCAAAGGAACTGAAGCATGTTTCAAAATGCCTTTGCCACCAAAGATTCTGTCTTAATGTCTAACAAAAATGGCCACTACACTTGTGTACAAAAACATTGCTCTTGCAGCTTCCTTCACAATGTAAGATGGACGAACTGTTGCAGGTACTGTCTTAAAAGATAATGTATGGGGTATTAGATATGGATTGCAGTGCGATTTGTCCAGCTCAAACAGCTGTGCCTGGCAGGCAGAGGGTTGGAATATTGTGTGGGTATTAGAAGGGAAGTGGGTGGGCTGGATTTACCACGTGCCCCTTGTGACTGAAGGGAACATGCAGTTTTCTGTGAAAAGAGGAAGAACTTCATGGTTTCTTTAAACTTTTATTGTGGAAATTAAAATGAGGAAGCAGGTGGTCCTGGACATCTGTCTTGCTTTTAGGGTTGGGTTTTTTTTGTTTGTTTTTAGGGAAAACTCATTAAAAATCTTAGCTTTGTGTTGTCTGCTACCATCTGGATAACTTCTTTGCTTTCAATTTAGCAAAATACAGAAAACTTGAAGCAATGTAAATAATCATTGTTGGCAGCCACTTTTTTGAATAGCCTTAACCTATTGTTTTACTGATGCTGGAGAGCATCAGCTGGATAGGACTTCATGAAGCACTGTGGCTCTGTATCACAAATGCTGTGCCTCAGTCCCTTTCTTTCCGTGGAACAACTTGTGCAAGTCCTGGGCCTAATGGCAAATAGGTATGTAAACCTGGAGCTTCAATTGCTGTAATATCCTTAACTATGTACTTCTGCTTTGAGTTATACCTGTGCTCCAGAACAGTATTTGTTCAGCTATGGTTTTACAGTTAGGCATTTGTAATACCTAATGCTAGAAGTCTTATTTTGCTAGAGTGTGTAGAGATTTTTTTTCTTGTTGCAGTCACTGAAGTCAAGTGCCTGCTACTATGTCTCAGTCCAGCCCAGTAGCAGTCAGTCACTGGTGCTGGGCTGCAGGTGAATAATACTCCAGAAACAAGAAGTCTGGCAGCACTGCCTTTCTTCTAGGAGGATGAGTACTAGTGTGGGCCAGGTGTGAAGACACTGCAGTATCATTTCTACCTGGCATACATGTGTGTCAGTCTCCTCTAGCTGCACTGGTCCATCTGCTCTTCACATATGCTTTCACTTGTCTCCATGATCACCTCCATCAGTCCAACGTAGTCACCTTCAGCAAGAGAGATGCCAGAGTCATTAGTGGATGGGCTGTCTGCTCTTCTTGTCTCTCTCGTAGGAGGAGCATTACTGCTTCTGTTTGCTGTATCTCTCGTGCTCCTGGAAACCTCTGATGGATGCTGGTCTGGTGCGCTAGCTGTGTCTTCTGAACTTAAACTGTGAGTATCGGGGCCTCTACTCCCTATGGGGGATCTCTCCAGCACTGGAGATGAGACAGGAGTGAATGAGAAGCAGAGGGAGGTGCTGCTGCTGGGCGGTATGTTGCTGGGTTGGGGGAGGGCGCTCGATTGCTCAGAATTGGGAGTGGTTGTTGCTACATTCTCCAGAGCTAGCCAGGGTGGGTGGGAGCCTTTCGAACTCTTCAGACTTTTGAAGCTGCCCTGCTGCTCATGGTCTGGGGACTCTGCTAGGAAAGGGAATTTAGGGCTGTCTGATGCTGTGGACAGAGCTGCTGGACTTCCAGTGATGGCAGCTTCTCTGCTTTTACTGCTAGAGTTGCTCTTTTCTTCTTCCACCATTACAACCAGCGAGTCAGGACCTTTATTTCGTTCTGTTGGCCAAATAAATGTTTCCTTTGTACCTGAGCCGAGGGAGCTCTGGCTTTTGTATGTATCACTCATCCTGGAAGGTGAGCAGTTGACAACAACGTCCTTAAGAGAATTTGAGCATGCAGCTATGCTGGAGAGTGCAGGGGGCTTCTTGCGCCCTTGGCGTCTAGAAGGGAAGATCATGGGGATGGAGCTGATGGGTGTCTGTGGAGCACTGTAGAAACCAGGTCTCTCATAGAATGGGGTTGATATGAAGGCATCAAACTCCCTCAGTTTTCCATCCTCACCGTCCCACTGCTCCTGTGAGTTGGTGTCTCCCCTTGGCTGACTGATGTTTCCTGACTTGCCCATGTCTTGGTACATGTAATGGGAGAAGGGGGATGTGGGCTCCCCTCGCCTGCGCAGTAGGTTCATCCGAGAAGAGGACCTGGAGAAACTTGGTGACTGGACACCCAGGAGGCGGCCCAGGTGTCCCAGTAGTGGCGTGGAATGATTTGCTTCCTCATTCTCTTTAATTTGCTCCAGGGGCTGGAACTCCATCTCTTCTTTCTGCATGCTGGGGAAAGACAAAACAGGCTGTTACGCAGCCACAAAAGATGGTGCTTTCTTGTGGTGAGGCTGGCATCAGAGGGAACATTGCTGCTAATGGCAAGCTTCTCCTGTGTTGCCACATCAGTTATGTGTTAGGCTCGCTGTAGAGGAGGGGGGTAGGAGATCAGAGGTTTTCTTTGCGAAGAAAGATACTGGCTGTCAGTCTTGGACAAATTTGTAAGTATTTTAGAGCAAGGTTTCACAGTCTAGATAGGAATATAGTGTTCTTTCTTACTCAAGTATAATATCCTGCACTGCACCTGCTCTAAGGTGTAAATGTGGTCTGTTCTGACTCCCTGTAGTTGCACTCACCTGATATCAAAAGTTGATCCAAGAAATGATGGGCGCTTGTACTCAGCAGTGGCTGCAGTGTAAGGTGGTTGGGGATCGGGCTCATTCCAGTATAGGTCCTTCTCCAGAATGGGCAAATCCTGATGCATCTCATCCACTGCCATAAGGGAGACCTGGGGGGAACAGCAGGAATGTCGAGGTCAGCAGACAAAGGGATGCAGGGCAGAAGGCAGCAATGTAGCATGGAAGTGAAATGAGCAGCAATGGATTTGCTGTGTGGTTTCCTGTCAACTGTGGGGTGTTTTTGTTTTTGTTTTTGCATGGAGAGATTTGATTAGTTAGAAATTAGAAGGAAAGTGGTATGGGATGAGAAATGAAAGCAATATGCTCACTAGAACCAATGATCTTAGTGTTAGGGAGTTCTGAAGGAGAGTTATTGCACAGAAAAACCAGAGGAGGTGATTATAGGTACAGGCACGGTGTGGGAAAAGCCAGGGAACAGCAGAAATTATGTCCTTCACTATGTCATTGAAAGGCAGTGAGGGTCTGAAACAGAATCTGGACCCATCGTGTGTGCTGGAAAATGGACCAGGGGGCCAAGTGAAACCTCAGGTGCAGTCCTCAGTGTTCCTCTGCAGGTCAGGAGAATTCTGTCTTCACTTTACCTGCAGGTTCCTGTCGATGAGCCAGTTGGTTTCAAAGTCATCATCGTCCTCTCCAAAAGGGTTAATTAATTGCTCAGCCACCTGCACATGGAGAACACAACAAAGGTCATGGTCATATCCATCCCTTTCCCTGCAGGGAGAATGTCTATTGGACAGAGCCCAGAACTGCACTCAAGGGTGATGTGCCCTGAATTTGGAGCAATGCTGGTTCTTCCAAAAAGGGGGTGGCTTAAAAACAGAAGCTTGCCGGTTTCTAGGAAGCATCGCTATACAGGTAATGCAGTCCACTGCCTCTCTTTTCCCCCAAACTTAGGAAAGGTGAAGCTGATTGTCAAGTGAGATGCTCAGAGCCTGAGACTGTTAGCACTGCCCTTAGCTCCCATTGGCTCTCTATTTGTCTCCCAGCAGCTGGCATGGTACACAGCTGGGTTCTTTGCGAGCACAAACTGGGAAAAACCCAATGTGTCAGATTCCAGCTCCAGGCGTAATTTCTTGGACGTACCTTTAACCAGCCAGCATAGAAGAAGAACTGCAAAAACGTAAAGACAGGCACAAAGAGATCTAGTTCATGGCCAGGGTATGCTTTTTCAGGATCCAGGAACTGCCGCCCAATCAGACAGGCCAGGAAGAAGCTGTAAACAGCCACGGTCACCACCTGGGGAAGATGCCAAGGGACACACCAGAGAAACTTAAGTTCCCAACTTGCTTTCTCAGCATTTTTCTTTTCAGTTCCCACCCCACTTATATCAAAACTGCGGTGAGCTGCTGGCTCAGGAGCCTTTTGAAAACCTTGTATTCAGTTACAACAAGCTTCCCCTCTGCTTTTTGCAGGAAGATTAATTTCCACTGCAGAGAACTTTAAGTGTACCCTCTGCCCTTCATTGTTATGTACGCTGCATTTCACTCCATGCTGTCTCTTGTTCTCTGTCCTAATAGTTCTCTGGAGCCCCTCATGATTTGGTAAGCCTTTTCCATATCTGGGAGGGAAACCCTGGGCATTAGTGTCAGCTCTGGTTTGGTCCTAATGAAGGATATTTTTATATTTGCCAGCTTGCTTGCCCAAATTTCAGGCTACAATGAACTTTGTACTTTTCTGTGTAATCACGAGACTGGAAACTTCCACTTTTCAAATTAATAGCAGCCGAGACTCGTGTCAAGCAGGAAGGTTCAAATCAAACAGCCAGCATCACGAGACTCTTGAGTTAGCCAGGCATTTCCCAGAAGGGAACAGCACAGGGCCGCTTCAAGATGCACAGGTTACAGGGTGCCTGCAAAGACAAACTTTGCAGTGTGGATGGGCAACCACAGAAAAATGGGTCATGCACTGCAGAGAGGAGACTCTGTTCCAGATCATCTGGCAAATCCTGCTCACAACTCCAAGACCCAACTGAGGCTGCCAGAGCTGTCTGTTTGGGTCCAGTCTTTTCTACAGCCTGACATAGCTCTGTTTTGTGGACCTAGACTATAGCGATATCTCCTCTCTGCAGGGCATGGATCTGCATGTATCTGTGTTTTCTGTGCATTCATATGGAGCACATTATGGGTAACTAATTACTCTTGGAGAGTGTTTCTGTAGAGGTGGCTGTGTATTACAAAAATAAGGGCAGTGTGTGTGCTTATGAGTTATGTGTGTGTGAGAGCCAGCATGGGGCTTGCATTTGCAGGCATGGATGAGAAGTCCAATCATATGTAGCATCAGCATGGTCTGTGTGTAGGGCAGGTATGGGGTCAGGGAGGTTCCAAAGCAGCATGTGTAGGCAGGCAGTGCAGCCATAGATGCGGGGGAAGCCCTTCTCACCTGGGTGTAGACCAGGGGAATGCTGATCCAGTCATACCCATAGAGCCGCCCGCATTGGCTGCGCAAAGTGTTGAGCTCCTGCAGTAGGGAAAAGGAAAGACCTGTTGGCACTACATTTGTGTGTTCTTGCCCCTCCCCTCCTGCTCACACCTCTCTGGAAGGTGGGACTCCGCCAGGGCTCCATTGGGGTCCAGCCCTCTCCCAGCAGACCACCAGCAGGATCTCACACTTGCCATGGAGGAAGTCCCTGCTGCCTGGATGTCTCTGTCTGAGACCTGAGTCCCTTCTTAGCTTATTTCATAGCAGAGGTTATCTCCTCACAAAGTGAGTGTCTTAACAGATCAGAGGCAAATATATCTTAAAAATATCCATCTCTCTCTTTTGACTTGTGAGCCCAGAGGGACGAAACTCACTCCAGGCAATAGAAACAGCATAGGTCTGTCAGCATGTGAATCTTAGAGGGGATGAGCTGCTCCAGAGTCTTTTTTTTTTCTCTGCAGCTCTGCAAGGACCAATGCCAGGTCCTGCCTGTGGAGCATGGCCTGCGCCCCAGGAGTATCTGAGAGTTTTCAATAGAGAAGTTTTCTGCAGGGACATTTGGTTGTTTAATATCCTTTTGACTTCTGCTTTTTTCCAGACACATGCTTGCTTCCTTCCTTGTGGCTTTACATTTGCATCCTAGAGACCTTCTTTGGACACTGGAACGCGTGAATGCTGGAGGAAGTTTGATCCAGAACACACTACGTGGGTATATCTCCTATGACTACACCTAGATGTGAGTCAAATGGTTCCTCCAGTCCCAATTTTGTGAAAGATGTTACATTCTTTAGCCTCTGCTGCATGTGGCATCACCAATGTGTCAACAGGCCATGAAAAATTCTACTTTGTCACCAGCTGGAGAGTGGCAGTGGGAGTATTTCCCATCAAAATGAATGTAATATCCCCAGGGACAGACATGGCTCACTGTCTGGACATCCCACCTCAACATTCCTGTTCCTTGCCTGACCTCTTGAAATCCCTGCAGTTCTACCTGGATGAGGATCTCAGTTGCCTACTGACTGTCACTCACATTCAGGATGCCTTGGAGCAGCACGCTGTCCCGGATCCTCCCCTCATTCCTTGCTTTCACAGCCAGATTGGAGAACCACACACATGGGATCCAAAACTTGTTGTGGGGAGAATTCAAGCTCTCAAACTTCTTGTGCTCTTCAGGTGTCATGAGGCCTAAGTGGAAAAGAACAGACAAGAAAGGAATGGCCAAAGAGAGCAGAAGGTAGTCACCTTACCTCTTTTTATAATCACTGGAAAGACTTGGGCATTCAGCCTTTGGAAGATGCAAAGGGTGACAAGTTTTGTTAAAACACTGATTTTTAAATATGTGCAAGAAGAATTTCTCATTTCATAGAATAACCCAAGTTGGAAGGGACCCATAAGGTTTATAGAGTCCAACTCCTGGTTCCACACAAGACCACTCAAAATTCAAACCCTCTGTCTGAAAGTGTTGTCCAAAATCTCCTTGAACTCTGGCAGCTTGGGGTTGGGCAGCCCATTCCATGCCCACTGCCTTTTGGTGCAGACCCTTTCCCTAACCCCCGGCCTGCCTCTCCCCTGACATAGCTCCATGTTTGGGTCCTGTCCCTCGGCTCTCTGCCCCCCGCTCCCCTGGTGAGAAAGCTGTAGACTTTGGATATCTGCAGAATGTCTGACCAGATCCCAGCCAGCAGGGAGACAGAGAACTGCTGAGGGTGCAGTTATCTAGTGTGTTTAGACAACTGTTGAGAATGTGATAACTCGTGTCCTAGAACTGCACCATCTCTGCTCCAGAGTGGAGGTCAAATGGCAGGGAGCTGCTGTCTGCCTGGCCCGGAGCTGTGCTGAGGGCAGTACCAGTACTGACCTGCCCTCACGACGTGCTCCATGCTGGGGAAGCGCTTGTACACAGCAGTGCTGACGGAGCGCAAGATGAGCACGCTGCACAGGTTGCTGTAGCGCATCAGGGTGCGACGCAGCAGCCGCCCGTACTCATCCTCCCCATCCACATTGCAGGAGACCAAGTTCATGATGCGGTCAGGCCATGGGATGCTCTCGTACTGCGCCCACCAGCGGGACACCACCAGGGCCACGTAGAAACCTAGAGGTGAGCCAAGCAAGTCAGCCATCCTGAAGGAGGGGAGATGCGTGCTCTTGTACAGGAAGGCTGGCACTGCTCTTATGGGGATGAGTGAAGGCAGACCTAGAGGTAATTTGAATCTCCATGCTAAAGCTAGAGTCTGGCTTTCACAGCTTATTTAGGGAGATTTGGTCCTTGCCCTCTTGATTGAACCAAGAGCACACCAGTGTATCTGGGCAGTGAAAGCTGTGTGCATACCTCACAGCTGCAGCATTAACTGATGTATTTATCACAGAGGCAGAATGAGGGAACTGCTCAGTGAATCCTGCCTGCTTGAAGAGCAGTGTCAACCCAGGGTGAGAGAAGAAATGCTGCCCGCTTCCCCTCCCTGCGCATTCACAGTCAGAGCTCCTTACCCAGCACAAAGGACACAGGGATTAGCTCAGCATAGCTGTTACAGTAGAGTGCCAGCTTCTCAAACATCAGCCTTTGGCTTTCACTGAGGATCAGCCTGAAAGGGAGGAACAGAGACATCGGCCTTAAGGAGGAGACCGTGCCTTGTTGGGCCTGCTGGGTAAGAGTCTGGCAAGGGAAAGCAAGGACACGTAGCCACGATACAACCATGCTGTGGGTGTGGGGTGATGTGGGGAGCACTCAAAACACCCTGCTGACACGTCCAAAGGAGCCTGAAGTGGTCACTGAGTGGTAACTGCTGCAGTCTGATTAGGGAGCCCTATGTTTTTCACCCACCAGGTGAGTGCTATCTGAAATCAGGTGTTTGCCAAAGTGCTTGGATGTGCACCACATTTTATTTAATATCCTGCAAATTGTCAGTCCAAGCTCTGCTCACGTCAACAGTGCCTGATATGAGTTCCTCTTTCTTAGAGCTGCTCTCCTGCTTCCATGTTGCATTCACCTAACCAGGGGAGCTCCCTGGCTTTCCCCACCCAAATCAGGCCCACCCCAGTGCATAGCTGCCTTCTGACAGATCTGCAGTCCCAGAGCTGATGTCTGCTCTCAGAAACGCTTCCCACTGTGGAACACCTCCAGCACCACTTCAGCCTTGGTCTCTATATGCCATTCTTCTCAGGTAGTCATCACATGCAGCTTTTCATCTCCAGGAAGAGGATCCATGTTCCTCTTCAGGCACAAAGAAGGAAATCTGTCAGCTGCTCAGCCACTGCAGCAGTGAGGAAAAACCTTTCCTCCTCTGAACAGAGGCTGGTTAGTGGCTGGCTAGCTGCTTTTTCCCAGGACTGCTGTCCCAACCCTGGTTTGTTCAGTTGTCCTGCTTTGGGACCAGCTGAGAACAAGGAGCTGTGGTGGTGCTGGTGTGAGGATGCTCACCTGTAGACAAGGCTGATGGCGAAGTAGAGGGAGATGAAAATAAGGAACTCGGAGTAAAGGAGTTTGTAGATGCTGCCTTTCCATTGGAGCAGGAGCTGCGAGAAGGTGCCTAAGCGGGCATCGGCCACGCGGTTAGTGTATGTCACTGTCATCACAGATCCTGGTAGGGACACAAAATGAGCAGTTGGTGAAGCTGCCAAGCAAACCTGCACAGAGGGAGGCCTGGACAGAACAGAAACCTCAGGTGTCCCAGCGAGGTGGAAAGGAAGGAAGAAAGAATGAGAGAAAGAGCTGAAATCAAAAGACAAATCTGTTGAAGTCGTTAAGGTAGAAAACCAAGAGGAAGCTTATGGTGGGCAATTACTGTGATGTGTTTACCAGCTTCTTCCTGTGTTTTAACTGCATGTGAGCTGGTTGCAATGACAATTCACTTTCTGGTGAAGCCCCATGTTTCTAGTGCTGCATTGTCAGTGTTCAAATGGAGCTGCTTGATGGGAGTGGACAGAGCCCATGTGCCACTGTCTTCCACAAAAACAGTTCCTTGAGATTAATGATCAGTCTCATGAATTCCAAAGTTCCTTACCCTGTTTTTACGACAAGTACAGCTGTCTTTAAATTTGGGCTGATGTGCACAACCAGACTGTGCCAGCCCTGGTACTGCAGGCAAAACAGCCTTCCCTGTCAGAGAGCTGAGGAATGGGTTTTGGCTGGGCTCACAGAGCACAAATTCCAGTAACTCCACCTCCCCAGTCTTCATTGTGAGATTAATTGTGCTGAAAGAAAAAAGAAATTTTATCCAATCATGCAGCATCCTTGCTGCACTTATTGTTTTCTAACCCTGGGTAAACAATTATTTATCATCAGTTAATTGTTAGACTGACATTCAGATAAACCTGAAGTTTTATATAAAAGTAAAAGCCAGTGTAATCCGTGCCATTCATGAATAATTATTCAATGAAAAAAACGATGGAATTTCTAAATTGAATCAAAACACATCGCATAGTTGCTAGGCATTGCTTTGGCACTGAGGTTGATATTAGAGGGGCCTTGGCCTCTTTCCTGAGTTATGGAAGTACAGGGAGGTATTTCCAGGGCTGTTTCAGCCCTCTCTGGTCTGTAGCAGCAGCTGTGGGCAGGTGAATTTGTGCCCATCCTCTTCATTTAAGCATCCAAGTGATAGACCTATAGTTAACTGAGCAAAATTTATGTCCAAGCCAGCTGGTGCCATGAAGATAAACTGCAACGTCTGCTGGCTGCTTCAACAAATAACACCTTTGGCTTCTTGGTTCTGCTCCTCCTTTGGGTTTCCCTGTTGTAACTCTCCCTGAGTCCTCCAACGATTCTATCGGAGGGGCAGAGCTGGCACCTGCCCTGCCAAGAGCTCCCCAGCTGCACAAACGCCCCTTTCACTGCATACTCATACACGTCCACACCTTTCCCATGTGTATTTCTGGGGAGTGCACAGGATTGAGAAGTGTCTTGTAACTGCCCCAAAGACATCATACACATGAGTTGCACAGATGAGAAATGTATGGAAACACATGCAAATGTGCTGGGGGCCGCTTACAGGAAGCAGAGTGTTTTGCTTTGAGCTTCGGGTCTTGAAAGTGCTCAGGGAGATTCTTCATTGCGTAATTCAAATGCAGATTCACTTTTTACCAAACATGGAAAACTTCAGCTCTTGTCTATGTAAGTAATGGATGTCGCCCACCTCTGTGCAGTTCTGTTCAGGCACAGGACGTGGGGCTTTTCCCAGTGCTTCTGCCTGCAGCCCTGCGCTCTTAAGGCAGCTCCCTGCCTGCCAGCCTGCGCGCTTGGCCCTGGTTGTCACTTGGCAGCTGGCACACTCGCACTGCTGCGTGGGGTTGAGGTTGGTGGTGCGAGGCAGCTCACTACTGCACCGGCACAATGGTGCTGGGGGGGCAGAAGAGCCGCCCCTGCATAGAGCCCAAACAGCCCAACTCCCCGTAAGGTGACGGGGAACGTGGCACAGCCAGCCCTGCGCCTCTGCTCCCCATCTCTGCTGGCATCAGGTCCCTCTGAGCTCACTGCCGCACCTGGGGATCGGCTGACACTGACCAGGCTGCGGGAGTCCCCAGCAATGAGCATCTAGCAGCAGCAAGCCAGATTTGCCTGTGCAAGTTGTGTTACCCGCCGCGTAATGCTGCAAACAGACACGAGCGCCTATTGCAAGTGCAGAGAACAAACAGATACAGTGGACAGAGAAAGCAAGAGGAGTGATGAGCTCAGATGCACAGTAAGATAGACAGACTGATCAGCTAATCTCTGCTCTTGTGAGGACTAGATACTCACAGTCATGGGCTCCTGAGCTACACTGGAGACGGTGGAGGTTTGATCCTGCATGTGTCCTCGCTGGGTCCTTTGTGGCCAGCGCCACAGCCTGCCTTTCCTTGCCCCCTTGGCTCATGGGGGGATTGAACCTGACAGACGCGGTGTACTAAGGAGCCTGAAACCCACTTGGGAGCTGCAGCCGGTCACTTGATGCCATAATCCTTTCTCATTACAAAAGAGACTCTGTTGTCTTTTGCCCTGTTCCTTTCTAATCTTCTGAGTAAGCCCTGCGTGTTTATAGAGGCGGCTGAAGGAGGGGGAGGCAGGGCTGGCTGCTCCACACTGCTGCTGCTAACTCCTGGCACAGCCATGGTGGCTGCCAGAGGAGAAGCATTTTCCGCTAATTCTTTCCTGTTTGGTCCCTTTCTCTGTGTCACAATCTTCCGGGAGCCCCAGGAGATTAAACAGAGCTGGAATTTTGCACAAATGCTGTAATGTGTGTCCCTCTTCGGGCTCGCGCAGCCCCCTCTTCCCCAGGTTCTCCTGGATCATTGGGTTTGTGAAACACCTGGTCCATGTTCTGCCAGGCTCTCAGCAGAGGTTTCTCTGTAATTCACTGCCCTTCTCTCTGTCTCTGCTGAGGGACTGATCCATCGCAGGGTCAGAATCCAGCACTTGCTTAACGTTTCATGCAGCAGACGATTGCCCAGCCATCCAATTTGCCAAAATCTCTCTGCCATGCCTCTCTATTGCCAATCTAATTTAATATCCTAATTTAATATAACATGCAAACGTATTTGGTATACATTTGACTCCCATATCTAGAGCATTTATAAGAACATTAAAGAGAAATGGCCCCAACATGAAGCCCTGGGGAGCTGCACTAGAATCTGGCCACCAACCTGGTGTAACTCTGTTTTCTGTAACACTCTGATCCTGACCCATCAGCCAATTGTTCAACCACTGTATTATATTTTTGTCTAGTTGTATGCTGGGCATTTCATCCAGAAGTACTGAAAGCTTTGTTTTTCAACTGGGACCTCTACAGATTCCCAAGACCATAGAAAAATAATTGGAGGTCTCGTGACAGCAGCCAGCTCTAGAAGCAGAAGTTCCCTGCTCAGCTAAGCCAAACTTCTGCCCCACCTGCATCATGTTTTGGTAGTGTTTGTTCCTGTGCTCTTAAGAGATGGCACTTAAGTGCTATGGGAGACCGGCCCTGATGGACCCCAATACCTTCAGAAGCAGTTTCCCAGAGAACCTTGCTAACCTGGTTACTTGAGCTGCCTGAAGCCTGCTCTACCACCTTCTTTCTGCTCGTTGCTTTTGGAATTTGTCTCTGTTGCCCCAGGTAATACCATCTGCCCTCTGCACATCCATATTTCCTGTCAGCTTTTGCTTACCTGCTATAATATTCAGTGTTCTGGAGATAAGGAGCTGCCCTGAGCTGTATCAGCAGCAGGGATTCATTTGCCCAATGGCGGGTTTCTCCTTTCTGGGAGGCTGAGCCAACCCAAGAGCAAGGGGTTGTTTGCTGCTTCTCTGAAACAGTTGCAGCCTGGCAGCTGTCTAATGTGGACTTACTAGTACAGCTCTGGAAATTGCTGTCAACAGTGGGTAGATGATAGTTGAAAGCGTGGGACTCAGTGCCAGTATCTGAGGATTTGGTTCCTGTGTAGGCTGTGGTGTGTTCAATTATATCTAGCCCTGACTGCTTTTCAGCAATAGTGAAAACAATTTTTACTCCTGCCTGGCACCAAAACTATGGAGATCATCTGATTTCTTCTACTCTGAGCAGAAGCTGTCCTGTATTGGATCACATAATGTGCAGAAGGATATGGGCTCACATCTGGTGGAGGTAAGGTGCCACAAGCCGCCATGTGTTTGAGAGGGCTATCACCCTACACAGAGGAGAATATGCAGGGTGCAGGGGTGGGCCCAGAGCACTCAGCCTAACCAGGGCTCTTTCTGCATGAACGCCCTGTGTCACTGGGTGCATTGCAGCTCCTTGGCCCTGGAGCCAGGGGTGACTTTTCTGGGGCAGGAAGGAGGGCCGGGCAGAAAAGAGGCAGCATGATGCTTCTGCTGTGTGAGATACAGACCTGGTAGGAGAAGCACAGGCATGGGGAGGGCCATGGGGAGAAATTCATGGTGTGGAGCAAGATAGATAGAGCTCTTATCAGTGGCCAGATGCTGGTAAGTAAGGTATCACTGGCCCAACCACGGCAAACCCAACTGACTGACTGATGCAGTATATAGCTTTGCACCTAGCCTATCTATGAGTGTCATGAGCAGCGTTCACCAGGACCTAAAAAGCCCAGCTATCCTGCCCTTCTGAAGCCTTATCCTTGGCCAGCAATGAGGCAGCGTGACCGTGGTGTGGCTGTTATCCCAGTGTGAGCAGCATCTATTTGAGACAGGAGGTGAAGTACCTTGGTTTCGCAGAGGCTCTGGGCCAATGTCATTCCAGAAAGTTGCACTGTGCTGCCTGTCTTAGCTGCTTTGTTGTAGGGCTGAGCTTGCTGCAAGGTCCCTGGGTTGCAGCCGCTCCCAGAGGACTTTATGGCAAGAATCATAGGACTGTGGTCCCAACAGGGTCCCTGAATGACTCTGGATGATGAAAATGCCTCAAAAAACATTCAGAGAGTTCTGTGTATGGGGGAAGATCTGGGACAGCATGGAGGTGGGCTCTCTCTGGAGGCAGGATTGTCCACACGAGGGACCAGGGTCCGGGGAGGATATATGTCTTTGAGATACTACTTTGCAGACACAGCTAGAGAGAAGGGATTTTTAATAGAGAGGCAGACAGAGACAGTTCTAGAGAGCAAGGGGACAAAAGTGGTTCTCTTGAGAAATTTTCTGGAGCTGTGGGGATTTTCTGTGGCCCTGGGGACTCTAACGTGGAACAGCAAAATCTCCAGCATCCAGCTCTTGATGGAGGGACATGCTGCTATCTGGGGGAGTCCGCTGCCCTCCTCTGAGAGCAGTTCATCCAGCAGTTCATGTGGCTCAGTTACCGTTAGGACAACATCAAATATTTGTGGCATGTAGTATGAAAGTAAATAACTGAGGGAATACCAGTGTGGCAGCAATACTTGGATCATTTTTTGCATTCCGCGTGGCCCCAGTTCTTTCAGACCTCAAGCAAAATTGCCAGTCTGAAAGCAGCAGAGGAGGAGCAAGGATGCACTGACGTCCATTCTCAATCTCGCTGTCTCCCCAGTGCCCTTGCAGGCCCTGGAATCCTTCCCATTTTCTCCATTTTGCAGATGTGCAGATTGGGTTACTGTGACGGGAAATGAATCCCTCCCCCTGCGCTGACTGTAATTCATTTGCTGCAGCTGCCTCTGGGAAAGGGACAGTCTGCCAGAGAACAAGTGCTTTTCTCAGGACACCAAGGGGGCCTGAGCCTCAGTGAAACCCCTCTCCTGCTCTCTGCTTTCAGTACTGCCAAGATAGATGCTGATGGGGTTTTCTTTCAAACTAACACTCTTCCTTGGAATCTGATGTAGAAAAAAGAAAAATAATGATTAAAAAAATGAAACTATCTGAGGAAGTGCTGTTTTCACAGACAAGACTGACTGATGTTTGAGCTTGCTGTGAGCCTTTGGAGAGGATGCAGTGGCCGTCAGTGCTTCTGTAAATACCCTCAGGCCTCTTCCCTTTACATTGCTGGACTCATAAGAAAAATCCATCTCAGTAGGGACCCATGGAACTCAGGGCATGCTAAGGGTGCTCAGCGTGTGCTAATTTCTTTCTTTGTGGACCATGTGCAGTTTGGACAGTCCTCCTTTCTTTCCAGGTTTCCCAGCTGCTCTTCTTTTTCATGTCCTGAAGTCTCTTCCTCTGGGCCCAGGCTGAGCTCTTCCAAAAAACGCAGCTGTCAGCAGGAGAGCAGCAGCCGAGATCTGGCAGGGGTCAGCAGTGCTTCCAGTGCCACACACAGCAGGACTGGGCCAGGCTGCATCTGCCTGAGCAACGCAGCACTGCTAGCACCACTGGCAAGCCCCGCTGCTCTTCTGTCTCTGCTTTTTCAGTCTCCTCTTTCACCCGGTTACCCAGATAAATGGGCAGCAGTTTGTTTGGTGCTGAAGGCAGATCTCATCCATGAAATTGGAGATCTTGGCCCCAGCGATCCCAGAGGAGCCTTGCTGGAGCCCTCCTCGCCAGTTGAGCAAACATGCTGCATGGCTGGCTAAGGTCGGCTGGAGGGAGGGGAGCGAGTGGGTGGATGGATCCTGGAGTGTTACACTCTTGTTTTTGTTCTCATTTTCATGGCAATAACATCCGCTCTGAGTTTGCTGGGTCAGGGTTCTACTCCTGCTTTTCAGCATCTAAGATAACGCCTATTCCTCTTGACCTTCACAGAATGTTTTTTTTTTTTCTCCCCCTCTTACATTCACTGCCTGGTCCAGCTTAATGTTTGCTGGTGAATTCTCCCGTGGGTTTGCAGAGCTCGGCAGTTTCAGTGTCCTCCCAGCCCGGTGTCCCTTGGTTTGTAATCTTAACAGCTGCAAGGCTCATCATTCCTGGAAGCAGTGCCTGCAGCTCGTTGGCCCACAAGTGAGTGTGACTGGGAGGTTTGGCTCTTGTAACTGCCTCCCACCCTAGAAGCCCTCCATCAGACAGACTGGCTGGAGCCATTCTCTTGCTGCCTTTTGAACTCCGGAAGCAATTCTGCCTTTTCAATCCTAGGACCCTCCATCTCTGCCAGCCAGGCCTTGGGAGTTAATAATTACCACTGAGTTGCTGTGGTGCTGCCTGCAGAGCTGCAGATCTCCCCTTCCTCACAAAAGTTCCCTGCAGATAGCAAAGGTTACAGCCACGGAGGTGGCCTTCTCAGACATTTTGCTCTGGGACCTCAGAGCACGAGTTGCCTTCTGTAGTCACTTGGATCCTAGTGCCCGGGTGGGACAAGGCTGTAATAACGTCTTATAACGGAATGGCCTCATGCTGCGCCGGGGGAGTCCAGGTTGGATATTAGGGAACATTTATTGACAGAAAGACCGGCGAT